TGTTGTGTGCCGTGGAGTCGGTTCCAACTCATAGCGACCCTGTACAGGGTTTCTGAAGCTGTAAATCTTTACGGGAGCAGAAAGCCTCATCTTTCTCCTGAGGAACAGCTGGTAGTTTTGAACTGTTGACCTTGCGGTTCGCAGCCTGATTCGTAACCACTACACTATCAGAGCTCCTTCCAAAAGGTTCCTTAGAGAGGCAATAATAAAGAAGAGATGGAGAAACATTGGTCTAGCTCTTCTATGGGTTTCACCCACCTAGTTCTCACCATATTGATTAGAATGGAGAGCTAAGATAGATATGTTGTTGTTGTTGTTATGTGCTGTGGAGTTGGTGCCAACTCATAGCGACCTTGTACAGGGTTTTGAGGCTGCAAATCTTTACGGGAGCAGAAAGCCTCATCTTTTTCCTGTGGAACAGCTGGTAGTTTCCAACTGCTGACCGTGAGGTTCACAGCCCGATTCATAACCACTACGCTACCAGAGCTCCTTATAGAGATAGTTTAAATGTAGCTGTAGCTGTAGATATAGATATAGATATAGGAGCTCTAGTGCACTCGACCGCAAGGTCGGCAGTTCAAATTCACCAGCAACTCCTCAGAAACCCTATACAGAGTCGCTATGAGTCAGAATGGACTCGAAGGCACTTACCAACAAACAATAGAAGCATGATATAAGGTAATATTCAGTGATACCACTTTGTGAGACACTTTGAAAAAAATTCGTGGCGGACACTGGTGGGGCAGTGTGCCGTGGAGTCAGTTCGAACCCATAGCAGCCCTACATAGGGTTTTCAAGGCTGTAAATCTTTAGAGGAACAGAAAGCCTTAACTTTCTCATGCAGAACTGTTGGTAGTTTTGAACTGCTGACCTTAAGGTTAACAGCCTGACTCATAACCACTACACTACCAGAACTCCTTATGTAGGACACATTGTTGTTACTGTTAAGTACCATAAAGTTTCAACCCATAGCGACCCTGTACAGGGTTTCCAAGGCTGTAAATCTTTACGGGAGCAGAACACCTCATCTTTCTCCTGCGGAACCGCTGGTAGTTTCAAACTACTGACCTTGAGGTTGGCAGCCTGACTTGTAACCACTACGCTACCAGAGCTCCTTGTAGTAGGTGCTAAATAAATATCTGTTGAATAAATAAGTGAACACAGTCAAATGTTCTGTTTAATGCTCAGATTAGCCCAGTGCATGCATTTGATGATCAGCAACCAGCCAATGGTAACGTTTTATTTGAAAAAGAATTTGCTTACCATCATCTGTGGTGTCCACAAAGTGTAATTCTGGAAGCCCACGTGGATATATGAAAACTGGATAATATGCATCATTGACTTTTATGCTGGGTCCTTGAGGGAAAAAGTATTTAAGGCAGTTAGAGAAGAAAAACAAGAGGTGCTAGCAGATGTTGCTTATTGATTATCCAGAGAAAAATTGTGAATTCAGATTCATTGTTGTTGTTGTTAAGTGCTGTCAAGTCAGTTCCGACTCACAGTGACCCTGTATAGGGTTTTCAAAGAGCAGCTGGTGAGCTTGAACCATTGACCTTATGGTTCAAACCGACCTTGCAGTCCAGCACATTAACCCGCAGTGCCACACAAGGACATTAACAAGAAAAAAACCAACAAAGACTTTTAAAGGATCATAAGCAAAATCCACTGGTATTGAGTCACTATGACTTATAAAGACTGTACATATCCATTAAAAAAGATAAATTAATTTATGAATTGTTTAAAGAAAGTACAGATGCTTGGATTACCTAATCTGAATTAAGAATGTTGAGGCTTTCTGCAAACATTTACTGCCTCAGAAATCCTATACAGGGTTGCTGTGAGTCGGAACCAGTTCGAAAGCACTTAACAACCATCACTTAAACTAAGAAACATATGTAGAAACCACTTACCCACTACAGTGTTACCCATGACGAGAGGAGCTTTGGGGAAATTGGCTTTCAGTTCCAGAACATCATCCAGGGAGGCGGGAATGATCCAGGTGTTCCTCTTCCCTTGGAATGTCAATCTTCTCTTGTTTGGATCTTCTGCCATTCTCTGCAGAGAAATGAAGTCAATGGGTTTCCCAATAAGGCTTGAAAAACTTCTGGGCAGTCATGCATTCTGCTGGTCAAATATTTCATTGAATTTTCCAATGTTACTCAACTTCTAGGGGTCAGAAAAGAACTGTCTGCTTGAAACGACCCAGACTGATTTAATTCATGTGGGCTCCAGTGAATAAACATCATCATGGTGTCTGTCCATTGGCAATGGGAAATAGAGTAGAGTAAATGCTAGTTATATTTGGAAAGTGAGTGTTTGAAGAGGAGACAGCACAATATAGCGGAAGTGTCTTAGCTGGGAATTAAAGTGTTCAATTTCTTGTATTAGTTCTGCCTTAGCAATATGCACTGGACTGCCAACAGAAAGGTCAGTGGTTCAAATCCACTAGCCACTCCTTGGAAACCCTTCACAGGATCACTGTGAGTCAGAACCAACTCCTCAACAGCACTTAATGACAACAAGCAATGACTCAGAGGAACTTCACCCTTGGGATTTAGGTTTATCTGTAGGATAAAATTTCTTATAAGCAAAACTATCCTTGACAAAAATCTCCTATATCTTTCATTTTGTTGTTGCTAAGTGCCATCAACTCAATTCTAACTCATAGTGACCCTATATAGGGTTTCCAAGGAGCAGCTATTGGGTTTGAACTGCCAACCTTGTGATACTTATCCTACAGCTCCACACCAGAAG